GAATGAAATGGATATATGCAGATCAATCAGACACCAACCAATAGCTTGCAACGCAGATCAGTCAAGTATCACCACACAAGGGACACAACAGAGTATACAGATTGCAAGTGCTGAGAGCAGACACTTCAGAATTATATCACAATGTACACAATTTATCCAAACAATACAATCACAAATTGTATCAGAGGCAAAAGAATTATATACACGGATTTAATCAAACTTATATAATACTACAGGAATGATTTGCAGAAATCAAGATTATCAAGAATCTTGATTGTGATCCAAGTAACCATCAGATTCCAGATAACTCTCCGTTTCTGGACAAAGGAATTACAAGGAGTCAAGAGTTCAGGTTTTCAAAAAACACAAGTCAGAATATCTACTCAATGCAGAACACACAAATACGGTAGAAAACCAACTAAATATAGTAACCAAAGCAGGGCAGTATTCAAACAGGGCAATATCCACATGGCAGTAAACCCAATCAAGTTAGAACACCCAAAACACAGATTTACAGCGTGATATACATGAGAATAATTTGAAAATGGAAAGATCTCACCAAAGCCCCTTAATTAGGGTTTCAATAAAATCGAAGAGCAGCTCGATTGTTATTTTCAATGTCAAGATCGTGCACTCTAGGTATCAAGAACTCCTTCCTTTCGCTCTGATACCACTGTTGGGAGGAGATCACAATTAGTTCACACGAATCAACAATAATATATATGCTAAAAACATAAACCAAATGAATGAACTGAAAAATACAAAGTATAAAGATAAAATAACACGTATCTTTTATTCGAAATCGCCCTCAGGCCAAATCACAAACTGTACAACTCAAATCTTATGAATAAATCGCCGTTTATACTCGAATTAAAACCCAAAGTAGAAATACAAAAGTAGACACTCAGACTGGACTTATATTTCACACAAAATGAGATCTCCCTTCGAATACAACTCACGATTTACACAAGAACCAAACTCAAACAAAGAAATCACACAAGATTACACTATGTTGAGAGAAAAACAGAAATCAAAAAGAGTATATCTGATTTCTACAGAAGAAAGAGAAGATCTCCAGAAACGACGCAGCAAGATGAGAGAAAATCAGAAGAATATCGAAGCCAGAGTGTAGTCTAAAACCCTAGAAGCCCCCTTTAAATGAGCCACTCAACAGTCACCAATCCAACTGTGTTGGAGGCGACACGTGGTGACATCTGAGGCATCCAACAAATTAGGTAAGTAAAAACACGATTTCAACTTTAGAGAGAACGTTTTCTTTCATCAAGTGAACTAACAGAAAATGAGCTGGGTTTCAATTTCAGCTGGGCCAATACAATATGGCTGATAAGTGCGGGTTTTTACATTTATTCGGACCATTAATTT